GTAGTTTTCTTCTTCTTCGTCTTCTTTTTCATCTTCTCTGTTTAGGCTCTCTGGTGTTCTTTCCTCCACCCAAAACAAAAGCAGAAACAAATTCTTTAGACTATGAAGAAGATTCATTTCATTTATGTTTACACGGTTCTCTATGGAAAATAATAAGAGTGTTTGTTGTTGTCGGTGGTGTTGTTGTAGTTCGACATCTCGTTTTGTTACTAATCATTTGTATTGTTGTTTGGCTTATTTCTTGGCAGGGCTGCTGCTGATTTATAGAAATGTTGCCGATTATCTTACCACCATAGCTAAGGTTGTTGTCTTCAGATGACATCATTTGATAGTGCTGTCGAATAGAACCGAAACTTGTTGTTGTGGTTTTAGACAACAACAGCAACAGAAACATACGGTATTTAATGACTTTAAACTGGCGTGCAAACAGTGAATGGATGCCGTTTATTGGGTTTTAATTATATTGATCTTCTCCTAGTTCCCTCAATTTTTTTTCGCGTGAGGAGAAAGATATGTAGAAAGAATCGAAAAGATTAGCATCCCAAGTTTGCGAATTTCATTATTTTCTAATTTGAGAATATTAAAGGTGAAACAAGCGGGTATTGACGTATCTCTAATGACAACAAATGTTTTTTTGCTCAGACTTTGGCTTCAAACTAAAATATGAAGAAGATTCAACTCGAAATCGCCGACATTTTTGGTATTGTAGAGAGTTTTACTCTTAAGAGAAGAGGCCTTTGGACGTCTTCTTTAGATATAATATCATATAGAGTTGTTTTGTTGACTGATCATTCGGTGGTCTCCTGTTTAACCCCTTTTAGAGGTATTAAGTTCGTCATTCTTGATCAGCGGAAAATTCTAAGATGATTTAGCTTTGTCCGTTCGTCTGTTGTAATGTTAGAGTCAAAACGAATTAAGATAGGAAGTTAAAATTTTGCACAGAACCGTTTTTTGTCTGCCGGAAGGTCAAATTCAAGAAGATTGGCTACATCAATGGAATTGTCAGAAAATCTACACAAGGAGCTCCTTATGAGTACTTTACCCTCTGGAATATAATTGTCTAGATACCCCATGCAACGGTCCCTCCGAAATTCGCTATTTTGGTGATTTTTAGCGACATTTTTTTTACCAGAATCGTTTCAAATTGTCTACGCACGTCCGGAAAATTATTTACGCAGGTCCACGTCTTCATATAGGTCACATATTAGGGAATCTAACTTTATTCGCTATTTCGATGATATTGGCGACATTATTCTCCAGAATTGTGACAAGTTTGATGAAATTTGCGAATTTTTTGGAAAAATTTTCATGTACCTTCAAAATGGTGGAGGTTATTAAAATTTCGGCCCGGCCTAACTTAACTGCTTGTAACTTGTTTAGATTAAATACCCTTCATCTGTCTCCAGAGGAAGAATAACTTTCATAGAGCCTCTATTTAAGATCTTAAAAATGCTTATATCGATGGAAAAAATATGCAATTTTAACTTCTTATTAAATTTATGTCATATTGAAAAGCTTCTGCTAACTACTTAATAAAGAGAACAAGTAAAAAAGCTGTAAGTTCGGCCGGGCCGAACTATGACTACCCTCCACCATTTGGTACAAATTTGCCAATTTAAAAAAAAAAAATAAAATCCGTTAAAAATTCTGTTAAGGTCTATACGACGACTTGGACCTGCATAGGCGAGTCTTGTCACAAGCTATTACAATATTCAAATGCGAAATTTGAAAAAAAAATGTTTATAATGTAGCTCAAATCATAAAAATAGCGAATATAGGGAGGTACCATGGGGGTTATAAAACGTGGACCTGTACAGACATTTTTCTGTCTTAGGATGTAGTATCCATTACGAACTTCAAATACCAAATTTAAAACAATTCCGGTAAATAATGTCGCTAAAATCATCAAAATACCAAATATTGGGGGTACCGTTAATGGGGGCTATACACAGACGTGGACCTACATTGCCCATTTTCAATACCAAAAATCCTGCAGACATAATACACATTTGAGAAAAATTTTATCAACCTACTTAATTTCGTTCGGAAGCTAGAGTGATTTCCACAGACGGATAGACGGTCAGACGGACGCATAGAATTTTATATATAGAATTTTATGCTGATCAAGAATATATATACTTTGTGGGGTCTAAAATGTATATTTCGAGGTGTTACAAACGGAATGAAAAACTTAATATACCCTCCATACTATGGTGGAGGGTATACAAATGCGCTATACAGGCTCTAATTGGCATTGACAATATAGACGCATATTTCCCTACTGGGACCTCCCAAATTTTGAATATCCAAAAATCTCATATGATGCCAAGAGAACACACGAAGTGGTCCAAATTTTCCACAACGTCACATTTCTATGAAACATCGATTTTTTGGAAGATCGACAATTTTCTGTTCTAAATTGTAAAATACATTCGATATCTGAAAATAAAGAACTACCTTCGTTTTGTGGTATGTTAACCTGGTAGCATATATTTTCAAGTATTAGAAGTTTTTAAAATTTATAGTTCTCATACACATAAATAAAATGTCAAATTCTGGGTGTTATTTTTGACTTATTTATTTGCTATAAATAAATGATTCAAAGTATGCATCCTATATAAGAAAACACCTTCAGACTATACCAAGATTTAAGACGTTAAAAATATTTCAAAGCTAGATTACTATTAATAGGACTTACACACTTAAAGTACAATTAAACGGTTACTCAGAGACTTCGCGATCCTAAATATTAAATTTCATTCATTTGTGCTACCTAAACTGATTAGGTAAAATAAATGATTTCCAAACAAAAATACATTCTTATTGCCACGACGTGCAATGCAGCTGTTTGCCCATAGCGGGAAAATCACAGCAATTAGCCTATAAGAAATATTTAATGGAAACTGAATACATTTCCCATGAAATCTGTGGAACATCTGTTCACAATGTTTTACAGGTAAAACACTCAGCAAATCCTATTGGCTACATTCTTATTGTCACCTTATTCTCCCTTCTAAATTAACATATTTCTATGTATATGTGTTTGAATACGTAGATAGGTGTTTACATTCCCTGTTAATGTATTATCCGTTCCACTTTTAAACGTCAATTAGAAGAACGAATAGACATTGAAATTAAGTGGAGAAAATAAACCTAGAGTTGCTGAAATTTGAAATTTTCTCTGCGAAGAAAAAACACTTTGATGGACGCAAATAGGACTTAAGCTGTGAAAATTGGCCAACATTTAACTATTTTGAAGGGAAATTTAAATTGGGAAACATATAGTTCGTGGCTATAAGAATTATACAAAATTACCTGCAATTCTTTACAAAATATCGCAATTCCAATTGGATTGGATTTAGAAAGACACAGTTTAGGTTAGCAGACGACAGATGTTCAACATATTTAACAAAATGAACATTTAAGAAATTTCATTTTTCTTATAGACAATTTTACGTTGGACTCATTATGTTCAAATTGCATTTTAAAGACATTAAATGAGACGGAATTTCAAAAAAAAAAAAAAAAAAAAATGTACAGATGTTGAGATTGATGTAAAATAGGTTAGTTGACGAAATTTCTTTTTTTTTAAGTTTGGGGCGAATATATATTCTTGATCAGCGTAAATTTCGCCTTAGCTCTAGTTTAGTAAAAACTCTTAAATTTTTTTAATTTTTGTCCAGTGGTTGGTATTTTTCCCTGATCCCGGGAAACATTTTTTTCTTGGGGGACGGATCCGGGACCCTAAACTTTTGACCCGAAAGTTCGAGACCCAGAAAAGGTATTAACACAAATTGTATCATTTTGGAAAGGTAAGAATGTCAGCAATAATTTGGCATCAAATTGGTTGACCCCGATAATAGGCCCTTATTCGACTTTTTAGGGTTTTTATAAAAAATACGGGTACAAAAAATCAATAATGTGACTATTACTTTCGAACCGCTTCATAAGCTTTCAAGCTTTACCTATACTCCCTATATCTGGTAAGTGGATCCGGGTCCAGGGTCAAAATCTGGGTTTCCGGGTGCGTCCCCCAAGAAAAAAAATAGTTTCCCGGGATCAGAGTAAAAATAACAAACTCTAAAAAAATTCGATGAGTTTTTACTAAACTAGAGTTGTTGCTAAATTTCCAAGACGACTTAGCTCTTTTCGTCCGTCTGTTGTAGTCTCGCTGGAAACAAAACGAATTTAGATATGTCTTTTGTTTACAGGCAGATCAAATTCGAAGAGGGGTTACATCGGTCTACGATATCGTATAGTCCCATATAATGGTACCCCCGATATTCGGTATTTTGATGATCTTAGCTAAATTTTTCAATGAAATTGTCTGAAAACCAACACAAGGATTTCTTCCTGAGTACTTTAGCACCTGTAAGATAATTGTATCTGTAAGAGAATTGTCTATAGGTCCACTATATCGTATTTACCCTATATCAAGGTACCCCCTGATTTTCGGTATTTTGATAATTGTAGCCATATTTTCCAATAGAATTGTTTGAAAATCCACATAAGGAGTTCTTTGTGAGTACTTTATCCCCTGAAAAGGAATTGTCTATGTAAGTCCACGATATCGTATATAACGGTACCTTCCGATACTCATTAATTTGATGATCTTAGTCAATTTTTTTAAGGGAATTTTCTTAAAATCCACACAAGGAGTTCCTTCTGAATACTTATCCCCTTGGAAGGGCATTATTAATCTAGGTCCACGATAACGTATAGCCTCAATACAACGGTATCCCCCACGTCTTCGTATAGACCCCAATATGATGGAAACTTCCTATATTCGATATTTTTAAAGGATTTTTTTTTTGAAAATTTCCAAATTCCTTCCAAGAGGTACAGGGTATTCAAAGTAATCCCCAGTCGAACTTACTGCTTTTTTACTTGCTAATTTTGAAATATTTTTAGGAATTATAAATAAATTATATTCCCTTTCTGTATATTGCCAAACATATAAAAATAAAACATTTGCTTTGTTATTTCTGTCATTTTAAATTTTATTTCTCAAAACAATCTTAAAACTACATTCCTAAATAAATTATCAACATTTTTAAAATCTATATAAATAATCTAAAACTAAAAATAATAAAAAAACTTAAAGTTTCGTTGTCTGTGACTTCGGGTCGGCGTTTTGAATGCCCAACTTCTCCAATTTGTGTATGCGGCGAATGTTGCGTTGCAGTTTCTTTTTGAACAGCAGTTCACGGGAAATCGCTCTCAAATCGGCTCTGGAACATTGTTGTAAATTTCTTACACTCGTCGATATCAGCTCATCGGTAAGCAAGAATTTTGTCTTATTCAAACGTAAATGTCTGGCTTCACGGCGTTGCAGCTCCTCGCGGTACAAGAAGAGGGTGTAGGTGACCGATGGTTTTGATGACGACATGTTGAAGGAGTTATTGATTGTAAAGTATTTCACTGGTTCAAATGCACAATGTAACTGATGATGACTTGCAGTATGCATTCAGTTTTTATACAATGTATGATCTTAGTTCTGCCAGGGGCAGGTAATAATGTTATATGACTTTACTATTGGCGAGAAGGATTATAGGATCGCACTAAATGTTAATCCTTTTACGCAACGTTGTAAACAATCCATGTGTGTAGTTTATTATTGTCTTTACAATGTTCTGAAGAACATTTTTCTTATTGCTTATATGACACAGGTTTTTCTTTTGTTCTAGATTTTCCCTAATCAGCCAAATGTTTTAATCCTTTGCACATCTGCATGTTTTAGAGGTTATATTGTCCCATTTTTTGATCATAAGAATGCGAGTGTTTCACTTAATTGTTGTGAAAATACCAATGGTTTTATTAGATTTTATTGCGAGACAACGAGTCTTTAGAGAAGCAGTGAGCAGGTTCCGATCAAAACAATCTTTTTCATGTTCGGCCCCTTGATTATTTGCTAAAAAAAAGTTTGTAATCAATGAGTCAATTATGTTATTAGCTTCTCATTTATATGAGGATAATTATTATAATAATATTTCAAGGACCTCCTGTCATCACTGCACTTTAATCTGTAAAGTCCGTTTACAATGACTTATTCTATAGAAGGTCTTTGTAATCTATTTTTTTCCACAGAAGAACCTTAAAAGAATTTCTTTCCTTTGTAAACCGACAAACCTGCAATTTATAAAGGACATTTAAATAGTAAGCATTACATAGAGAACTTTTCAATTTTATTTTCATACAGACTATTATGTTCTCTATGAAAGATGCCTATGGTAACACTTTAGAAATTTTTTTATAAAAAAGGAATTTGGATTGTCTTCTACAGGATGAGATATAAAAACTGCAACAAAGTCAAACGTCGTAATTTTTACATTTTTTTTTTTTTGATTGAAAGAAAAAAATGTCGAAGATAGCATCAAATTTTAAAATAAGTTTTGATTTGTTCGAATTGGTCACCTTTGGCACGAAAGATGGCCCTAAAACGGCCAATGAAATCGTCACACGCTGCTCAAATGTTGCTCTACGGTATTCTGGCCCATTCCCGGCGAAGCGCTTGCTTGAAATGATCGAAACTTTGGTATTTTTTAGTGCCAACCTTGCTTACCAAAATACTCCAGACACAATAATCCAACGGATTGGTATCCGAAGATTTTGGTGGTAATTGTGCGCTGGAAATGAAGCGATGAACCTCTGTTTGTAACCATTCTTGGGTGGCGCGTACTGAGTGCGATGGTGCTGAGTCCTTGAGTGCCCAAGGCTTTAATACACCCTCCAGAATATTTTCGCGATAATATTCGGCATTTATTCTGATGTCACGCTCTTTTGAGTCCATTTCTGTTGGAGTGTAAGTTCTTGCACTTTTAGGAATTTCAATGGCTTTACCCCGAGCACATTTTTCAATATTTGCCGGATGGAATATTGCGATATGTTCAGCTCACGAGCCATTTTTCGACCACTGCGACGCGGCTTTCGATCAAATCGCCTCTTTACTTTTAGAACCATTTCTGCTGATGTTGCTGTTTTTCTCCGTCCAATTCCGTCGGGTTACGCCACCAGTATCACGGTAGCGGGCGATGGTACGAGACACAAAATATTTATTCACATTTAAATGCTGGAATGCCCTAACGATAGCCACTTGTGGTTTTCCAGCCAAATATAAAGAAAGAAATCACACTATCACTCTTGAATTCCATCACGAAAAAATTTTTTTTCTGGAAAATTTTCACCAAAATGCTTTGGTACGCTTGTAAACAAAATAGTGACCTGTCACTGGAATAATTTTAACAGCTGTCGGGCGTGTGGCTTAGAAATGACAGCAGTCTGAAATTGGTTGCAGTTTTTTCATCTCATCCTTTATACTTTTTAGAAGATTTACAGAAGGTCTTCTGGTTCCAGAACGCTTCGAGACGTTTTCTTGTTGTAGACGATCTTTAGAAATTTTTAGTTACAGACTATCTTCTGAAGGGTGGTTTCCAGAGAAAAGATGACCAGACAGAAGATATTATTTTTATAGAAGATCTCCATAAAGTGTTTTGTTTATAAAATATCTTTAGGTTATAGAAGATCTCTCAAAGGTCTATTTTGTATGCAAATCTCCTGAAGTTCATCCGTGTATAGAATATCCGTCCTTTTGAATATTTCATTTGCTATACAACGACATATTTCTCGGAGAACCCATATACTGCATATATTCATAATCAGTATACCAAGCTAATCCGTCCCACAGTTTAACTCAAGATAGAGATCACAAAATGTGATGGTATCTCTACTTTCGAACTATTTTTTGGGTTTCACACCCTATTTTCTAATCCAAAAGCAATTGGGACGGCGTTTCAAATTCTCAGATGACATATATCCTTCCAGCAAAACATATTCTAATGTGGCCTCAACATCTGGCAAACCTCTATAGTTTAGTTAATATTTATATTCTGTATTTTGGGTGTCCCCTCCAAATTTCGTTGTCACTCTAGGGTTCTATTCAATAGAAATTCAAAATACAAACGATTTTAATGTTGATACAAGTAAAAAAGCAGTTAGTTCGGCCGGGCCGAACTTTGAATAACCTCCACCATTTGGAACGAATTAGAAAATTTTCAAAAAATAAAATCCATTAAAAATTCTGTTAAAATCTTTAAAATATCTAATATTGGAAGGTGCCGATATATGAGGGGGATATACGATATTGTGGACCTATATAGACAATTACCTTTCAGGGGTTAAAGTGCTCACAAAGAACTCCGTGTGTGGATTTTCAGACAATACGATTGGAAAATGTGGCTAAAATCATAAAAATACTGAATATCGCGGGGTACCGTTATATGGGAGCTATACGTTATCGTTAACCTATATAGAGAATTCTCTGTCGGGGGGTAAAGTGCTCACAAAGAACCCCTTGTGACCATTCCGTTGAAAAATATGGCTAAAAACATCAAAATACGGAATATCGGGGGTACCGTTATATGAGGGCTATACGATATCGTGGACCTATATAGATAATTCTCTGCCGAGGTATAAAGTAACCACAAGGAACTTCTTGTGTGGATTTTCAGACAATTCGGATGAAAAATGTGGGTAAAATCATAAAAATACCGAATATCGGGGGGTACCGTTATATATCCTCCATATCGATATCGTGGACCTGTATAGACAATTCTCTCTCAGGAGGTGAAGTACTCACAAGGAACTACTTGTGTGGATTTTCAGACAATTCCATTGAAAAGTGTGGCTAACTTTATCAAAATACCGAATATCGGGGGTACAGTTATATGGGGGATGTACGATATTGTGGACCTATATAGACAATTCTTTTTGAGGAGGTAAAATCCCAACAAGGGACTCCTTTTGTGAAATTTCAGACAATTCCATTGAAAAATGTGGCTAAAATCATCAAAATACCAAATATCGGGGGTACCGTTATATGGAGGCTATACGATATCGTGGACCTATATAGATAATTCTCTGCCGAGGTATAAAGTACCCACAAGGAACTCCTTGTGTGGATTTTAAGACAGATTTCAGACAGGACAGACGGAAAGACGGACGGACAGGGCTAAATCGTCTTAGAATTTTACGCTGATCAAGAATATATATACTTTGTTGGGTCTAAAATGATTATTTCGATGAGTTACAAACGAAATGACGAACTTAATATACCCTCCATACTTTTTTTGGTGGAGGGTATAAAAACTATATAGGGCACAATTTTCAACTGAATGAACTATAATTCAGTATTTTTACGAGCAATCTCCTCCAAATTTGATGGATTTCAAGACAATTGTTTTCACAATAATTTGAATTTTTGCATGGCGGAGGTTGTTAGAAATTCTAGCCGCTTAGACATAGATCAGTAATCATTTTGGGTTAATCATTCTTTACCAATGAAACGTAATGAAGAATTTTATAACCAGTAAATATTGTGCAGGTTTTTATCCAAAAAATTTTTTAAGAACCCTCTATTATTGATGTCCACAGAATACTATTACGGAAGCCTGCCTTTTCCCTACACCCATTATCATTATTCTCCACAAAACCTGTCTAAACATATTAATATTTCGATGTTTTTCTAAAAACTTTACCGAACCAACTTTTCTATTTATAGTCATGCTGTTTCTTTTTACGAGGAGATATTTAGATAGACAAAATAGATCTAACACTGCAGCAAAAAAAAAAAAAAAAGCAGCAACAAACAAACGCGAAACAACTTTAGATTACAACATTCACTTCTTGGCCAGAAAAGTGGCTGCCAGCAACCCACCATCAATGAATGTTGTTGGCTGGATCATAATGACTGTTGGCTGGCTGGCTGGTTGGGTTGGCTGCTTGCTACTCCCCGGAAATATCTGCTCGCAATATTTTTTATTATCATTTTTTCAGTTTTGCTCTCAAATAGCCATTGCGGCAAGAAAACTACCAAAAGCAGCAGCATTTTACGCTGGGTATTTTTTTCTAATTAAATGCAAATGAAGTAATGCCAGTGTAATTGGCTCAGATGCTAATTTACTTTCAGAGCTGAAATGCTCTGTTGATGTTGGGGTGTTTGTTATAGTTGTTGTACTGTTGCTTTTGCTTTTTCTAGTACTGCCTTTAGTTTTCTAGTTGGCGGTTTTCTCAGGCAAGGAATACCAAATAAAAATTCCGTTACCATAGATTTGAGTTAATTGTAAAATTACAAGCCAGAGATAGATAGGAATCTATCGCTGGGCAAATTTTGTGTTGGAACAAAAGTAAAACGAAAACGCAGATAGTTGTCGGGTATCGCAAAGCAAACAAAAAATATATATAAATCAAAACAAAAAATATATCTATCCATAGACTTTTCTAATTTCAGAAAAACAGGTGAAAATGGAACGGATTTGTTTTAATTACAATGTCATAAACATTCAATTAAACAAAACAGGTGATAAGTATCGGCTAGAGAAGATTTTCCGAATGTCTTTTGCATAAAAAGACTTCCACAAGGACTTCTGTCTATAT